CTTTACCTGCTACACCACAGCGCCGATACCCCATAAAATAATCTTAAAAATTACATTTCTTCTGGCCCTTCCTCTTCATTTTACAGATAAACTGAAGCTCAGCACATGTTCAAATCATAGCTAGCTTGTGACAAGGTTCAAACCATAGTTTTGCCCAGAAAAAGAAAATGGGGATCAAAATGATGGATAGAAGGAAGTTTTAGAGGTTTAGAGCTTTTTAACTGAAGTCCACATTCTGAGCAACACTCACCAGCTCTGTCTTCCTGGGGAAATCATATCACCCCTCTGAGCCTGTTTCTTCATTTGTAAGATGGGAATGATGCGAGTCTTTTGCGCTGTTGTGGCACATTGAGAGAAAACATGTAAAATGCCTAGGATGGCATCTACCTTGTAATACAGGCTCAATAAGTAGTGACGCAGTGTGTTCTTCTATACTTTCCAGAGTCAGCAAGGCCAAACCCTTTCACTTTGGACACCGAGAGGAAAATGTGCAGTAAAGGCAGATGCCTTAGCTGTCGCTCCTCCCTAGTTCTAAGATGCTCAGTAAACACTCTGCAAGCACATCAGCTGTCTCAGGGATGAAGACTAATGAACATCCGGGCTGATCCAAACATCTCCTTTGTGTTTGCAAAGAGGAAGCATTTCTGATAAAATAAGGAGTCAAGTCTTGCTCCAGAGCACAGAAGGCCAAGTTCATGACATTTCCCCACGTATTATTGCTAAAGAAATGTTCCGCATACTCCATTTTGTTCTTCTTCAATTCTTGTGTGAGAGAAGGTGGAATTATAAAAATCTCTGTTTTGGGGATTCCAATTCAATCCCATCAAGGTGGCATGTACCAATACCATCTCACTAGTCCAGTGATCAATTTCTGTTCACAACTGATCATAATGATAGGACTAAGAACCAAAGGGATCACATAAACAAGAATAGTGTCTGCAAATACTAGCTGATAGAATAAAAAGGGAGAGAATGATCCAACATGGGAAGTGAGATACACAGCAGACCCATAGAATGGCAGATGTCCTAAACAGCACTCTGGCCTCAGAATCAGCCCTTAAGGCATTCGGATCTGGCTGAAAAGCCCATGAGAGTATTTCAGGCATGGAAAGCCAAGACACTCTGGAAAAAAAAAAAAAACTAAATGAAATATCTCTGCGAGTGAGATCCCAGTGGAAACAATGGGGCCATCAAAGAAGCAGGTACCTTTCTCTGAAGGGAGGAAAGAACTTCCACTTTGACCATGGCCTTGTCTAAATATGATCAGAGTCAGTGAACTCAGGGGACTTCCATAGCCTTGGCAGCTCAGGACAAGAGCCTAGGGTGATTACTGACGCCATAAACAAGAGTGTCAAATTGTTAAGTCAACAACAGGAGTCACTGTGCACTTACTCCTCATGTAGGATCGTTGTCCTTAGTGTGCTGTACATTAAGATTTAATGCCAAAACTAGTACTCAAACAGTATTTTTCACTTTATGTTTCTGTGTGGGAGCAAACTGTTGAAATCTTTACTTAATGTATGCTAAACTGATCTTCTGTATATAAAGAGAAATGAAAATGAATCTTGATGTGAATGGAAGGGGAGAGGGAGTGGGAAAGGGGAGGGTTGCGAGTGGGAGGGACGTTATGGGGGGGAAGCCATTGTAATCCATAAGCTGTACTTTGGAAATCTATATTCATTAAATAAAAGTTTAAAAAAAAATCTGTTTTTCAAATACATGTGGGTTACTCCTAATAATATTTTGTATTTTCAATTGTTATTTAACAGAATGCAAAAGGCATTGTGAAATTCATTATTGCATTAATAATAGCTTTAAATCCCTGAATTTATTAAAAGCTGAGCCTTTCTAGAATGCCCAGGGTTTAAATCACAAGGAGCTATAGATGACTCTGACATGCACTCATTTTGCTGAAATGTTTTCTTTCCCTGCCCTTTGAGTGACCGGAGCCAGCCAGTGAGCTGTACCTATTGATGGGGATATGCATGTAAGGGACAGAGCATCCCAAAGTGGTAGCTCATCCAGTTCCTTGCAGCAATGTATGAAAATGGCAAAGAATCTGGACTGAAATTCAGATGTCTTAATCTACCACTGGTAATGAATATTTCTAAGTCAAGTCTCAGCAGAGAACAGAGTGCACTCAAAATGATAACCAAGGAACATTTAAAAAGGGACTTGTTGTAGAGGCATGGACCAAGGTATGGAATCAAAATGGATGGTAATCACCAAACAACTCACTGTGGGTAGCCATTACCACCCATAGGCTTGAAAGGGCAGGGAGAGAATTTGGAGTTACTGGGTCCTTCTAAGAGCTATGATATGGGAGAGGAGCCCTCTGATGGGAGATGAGTCATCAGTAGAGGAACAGACCAGTAGAGATGGAGGCCAAACCTATCCTGGCATCTCTCTACCACCCTCTGCCTTCTTACTAGTGTCTGCCGTTGGCTGACTCCAACATAAGCCTGTTTATTGATGTGGTTCGTGCAGACCAGCCTCCTCGGGCCCAGGAAAGAGCCAGGAAGGGCACACGTGGACTTGGAGGGGATGTGTAGAAAACAGCCCTGCATAGCCAGCCTGTGAGTCTGGAGAGAGGCACAAAAACAATTTTGTGTTTGTACATGTGTTTGTTGGCCTCTGTTTGTCCGATGTTGTAATGACTATGTGATTGATTCCCACATATTGGTGAAAAAAGGATCTAGTCCGTATTTGTTCTGGATCAAATTAGATACGGCAATTGTCAGGTCAAGCTCAGTTCTCCCAAGCAGCTGAATTTTCTTAACGAACTGGAAGAACATTTCCTACTTTGAGGTTTTGTGTCGATAGTCTTCTTCATACAAGGGGCCTTCAGAAGTTTCCTGGAAATGCATACTAATACAAGACAATGCATGAATTTCAAAATTGTTTTGCACCGAAGTAAATTATCCTTTCATTCTACTTCTCCATGTAATTTTTGAAATGAAACATTTCAGCAAAGTGAGTGCATGTCAGAGTCATCCATAGCTCCATGTGATTTAAACCCTTGGCATCTAGAAAGTCTCAGCCCTTATTAAGTTCAGGGATTTAAAGCCATTATTAATGCAATTATGAATTTCACAATGCCTTTTGCATTCTGTCAAAATTTTGGAATTTGCGTGGCTGCAATGAGCAACACCCCTGTTCCTTGCTCAGCATAGACACAAAGTTGGACAGATGGAGATCAGAAAAACATCCCCTTTGGTGTTGATAAAGCTAGTGTTTGAAGGCAAGGTGTAGCAGGAAGGCCAAATGAGTTGGCTAAGACTGTGCTGCCGAATAAAACTGCCCGCCTCAGTCATGGGCAAAGCAGGACAAAGTCAAGGTCTTGCCAAAAGGGTCAACGTCTTTACTGTCAAACTCTTGAGCAGATGAAAATGCACGCTTTGTACAAGCAAACAGTCCCCAAGAGGAGAGTCGAGAGCTGATGCACCGTCCTTGGTTCTTTATCTCATTCAGGGCTTAAGTGTGTCCTTGTCCTCTTGTAGGACAGTGGGTTACCTGTCAATGACATTTAATGATGTCTGGTGTCCCCATTGTTATTCCTTTTCAGATGACAACTCCCAGGGATGCTCTGTGTGGGGGAAGGGGTCTATTTGTCTCTGAGCCTCTTAAGAATGTATTGATGTCCATAGTTAACATCCTGAACCCTTGTAACATCCTGAACCCTTGTTGGACCCCTTGATACTGATGTATACAACTTCCTGGGGGAAAGAGTTCCTTGTGTGCCTCCCTGGGCATCCTGCATGCCTCATGCCGTGGGGGCAGAGAAGCAGGAGGCTCAGCCTCCGGCTCCGCTTCTGTCCTCCAGGTGGCAGGAGCACCATCTGCACTGCTGTGCAGTCTGGGGGAGCCTCGGGCCAAGCCAAAGACAACAGCGTGTCCATGCCCAGGAACACACTGTGCTTCTCTGGATTCCCAGGAAACCAAATCACAGTGAAGGTCAACAGTGTCGTTACACTGTGTGCAACCCCGATTTGGGTGTTAGGGACAAATAGTGGGCCTCGGAACTTCCCCCTCCCAGGTCCCCTCTGTTGCTTTATTAACTGGCTCCTTTCCAGCTCTGCTTATTCAGTGTCGGAAACTCTTGAGCAGCCCAACTCAAGTACCCCAGCTAGAAGGCTGCTCTTGATGCTCTGCAGAGATGGGCGGGACTCACGGAAACCTTCACACCCAGGCCCACCGACCACCTCCCTTCCCTGTAAACTCTTCCTAAAGACAGTGTCGTAGATGCAGCAGAGCCCACCTGTCACCCTGCCATCTGTCACACCTGGGAGCCCACCTGTCACCGAGTCAACAACCCAGTTGCCTACTTGGTATTTCTTGCTGGTTGTCTCAGAGGAACATGGGCCACCCCTGTGCAGCCACATGTTTGCACAGTCCCTGAAGGTGTTCTCACCCAGACACACACACACTCTGGAAAACAAGGAGTCAGCCCCATCTCAATCCACACCGAGTCACTCCGATTTGACCCCCTAATTATCCCTTGCATCCATCAGCTCCCCCCAGTCCCAACATGCTCAGCGCCACCGTGATCTCTTGCCCTAGCCTGGCCTCCAGTCCAGCTCCATTCTGCAGCTGGAACTCTTTCTTCATTTCAGAATGCAAACACTTCTCCATGTGAAAGCCCTTCAAAAGTCTCCAGTCACTCCCAGGAGGAAAACGAAGAGCCTGAACCTGTGCACCAGACCCCAGTCTGCTCCTTCTGCCCGTACCAGCAGATGGTCCCATATCAACCTGGCACTTGTTGTCATTTGATATTTGTATATGTTGATTGTTTCCTGCTGAAATAATAAAATAGCTGAGATGAGATGATTTATAAAGGAAAGGCATTCATTCCTTATAGTCCGGGTGTCTGGTGACCCAGTCACTTCTGACTTGGCCCTCCCCACTACCCCCCCCCCCCCCCCCCCCCCCCAAAAGACCCTGTCAATTCTGAATGAGGGGGTTTCCCCGGGGGGAACTTTTGGGGGGGCACATTTCCCCCATAGCATGTGTACACATAAACAAGGTCATTTTCATCTGGGAAATGATTGTTTTGGGAGTGTTTATTACTATTAAAATAACTACAGCCATTTATGGAATATTTGCAATTGTCAGCCATGTCCAGCACTTCATACACACTATTTACTTAATTTTCAATTTACAGAGGAAAAATTATGTGCTATGACAGGATTCTGCCTGTGAAAGACATACTTTTATTTTTTCTGCATTGATTGGTTTTCAGTCCTTGAATCAGTTGCCAGATCAACTAACCATTCTCAGAGAAAACCCACAGGTGTGGGAGACCCAGGCAGATAACGGCACAGGCGAGATGGATTCTAATTCAAGAGAGTTCAACTCCAAAGACTTCTATTCCTTTGAACAGTAACAAGCACTTCACCAGAGTTAAGTACTTGAAAACAACAACAAGAAAAAAAAAAGCTCATGATTAAAGAGATGGCTGTGTGATTTGATATCAGAAATTGCACTGTAGATTTTGATCTGAGTTCTGGTTCAATTTCTAAATGATCTTGACAAACCAATGGACCATTCTCTTGGTAGAAAAGAGCCCATCCTCTCGAAGCCTCCACAGGGCCAGGGGAATGAAGCATTCCATCAATGTTGTGTGCAGTGTAACTGCTAAGTGAAGCAGCCAATAATTTAACGTTGGTGTAGGAATCATATCATCACGGCTGAGTTATGTTTTCCTCACTTCCTTACCACCACAGAAATTCCAAGTTGCAAAATGAGCTAACTTTAAAAAAAAAATCCTTTACTTCTTTGAAAATTATCCAGTGTTTTCCGCCTGTTTTCTCCTGGAGAAATATTTTTGAACAGTGTTTGCTACCCCCTATTTTTAGCTTTCCAGTTTTGGCAGGTATGGGAAAGTTTATAAGTGGTTTGTTTTCTTTGCTATATCCAATGTTGATTTAGGTCGCTTTAGCCGCTGAAACAATTGGAAGCACTTTCAAGGGAGGCAAAGTCTGTTGACGCCTGATAACATTGTGAGAACCAGATAGTCCTCATCAGGACTTCTTTGAGGAGCTCAGGTCAGTTAGAGCATCTCAGGCACCGCCATGGTTTAAGCCATTACCTTTATTTATTTATTTATTTGTTGTTTTTTTTTTTTTTTTTTTTGTGTGTGTGTGTGTGTGTGTGTGACTGCTGTGGAGGAAATTTGCCCTTGACATAGGTAGAAGAAGCATCTCTTGAACATTTTCCCAGTTGTGGGCAACTCTTGGTTTGCCTCTGAGTTCGACAGCTGGAAAAGAAAGCAATGGCGGGTACCAAGTCTGACCCCTCTCTGGAAAGATCTGACTCAGGAGCTTAGGTTTTACCCAAGGTTTACCTGATGACCAGAAGCAAACAGGAGTGGTCCTTTTGCTTAGGAGAGATACCTGGAATTTCTGGGCTTTGTTTTGTAAATGACTGGGCTAAATAAATATATGCAAAAGCCGCTAGAATCATAGGCATCTTTCCTGCCATCTGGCATGTTTTTTTGGGTGGTATGGTTGGTTTTCTCTTTCTTTGCCTGGATTTTTCCACCTTGGCCTCCCTATAATGAGAAAAGTTGGGTAAATGTAAAAGTACAGGACAAGCGCGTATTTGGAGTCATCTCACCTTTTCTTGTCACCTGGTCCTTGTCTGCGGTGCTGAAAGGCGGGGGAACCACAAAGAGTCAAGAGCCCCAACAGAGACAGATGGGCTTCCAACCTCAGGAAAGCTCACAAGATTGGTGTGTTGCTGAGACGAAGTGGCTCCTGGAAGGTGAGCACGACAGGAGGGCTGCCCACCTGTCACCGGACAGGACAGGACCATCGCAGCTCATGAAGACACTTAGGAAAGTCTGAGGCCTTGAGTAACTCCACCCAGTACTGGGGCTACAGCCAGGCAATCATCCCCTAGACACACCTGGGGCGCCAGGCCCTTTACCAACTGTCACCAGGTCATTCAGCCAGGCGAGGTCAGTTCTGGAAATATTCCGAGGCAGATCCAGATGCACTCCCACCACCCCAATCCCACCCCATCTTCTAATTTCCTGGTTCTTTTTTTTTTCTATGATTCTTAGGGTCTATTCTCCTCTCAACTTTATGAATCTATCATTAACACCCCCCACTCATCTTTATTAAGGTATTAGTGACAAAGAAAACGTGTATATATTTACAGTGTGCAGCATGGTTTTGGATATATGTGTATGAGTATGCTGGGAAATTAGTTAAGCTAGTTAATATACCCATCTCCTCGCATATGTATCTTCTAGTCTTTTCTATTTTTTACCTTAAAATATTTGACAGATACTCTATCATCCCTCTTTTAAAATGGAACAAGTACTTTAACAAAACCTTTTAATTTTGAAAAATTCAGATACATGCAAAAGTAGAGATACTAGTATACTGTGCCATTACCCAGATCAACAGTTATCCAGAGCTGGCCACAGTTGCTGCATCTCTCCCTCACTTTTCTGATAAAATATTTTAAAACAAATCCCAGACCCCAGTCATACCTTGCCTCATACGTCCACAGACTTCTCTGAGCATTCTAATTGTTTTCGTGTGTACCCAATTTCCCACTCATAACTGTCTTAATATAATCTCCTACACAGTTGTACTAACTGTTCCCAGCATCCCTCCAAAAAGCCTACTTATAGTTGAATTGATTGAGCAAGGGTCCCATCAGTGTTCTTCACTGTTTGCTTGCTTGCTGCACGCCTTGTCTTTCTACTCATCTTCTTTCTCTGCCACAAATTTAGGGAGAAGCCAAGTGAGTTGTTGGGATGCTTGGTGATGTTTCCACAGCTCCGTATGTTATTTATAGACTCAGAGTTGGAAAATCTCTCTCAGCAGAACTCTTCAGGCAACCAATAAAGAACTTTAAGTATCAAGAAAGAAGACATTAGTAATGAATAGATGGCACATAGGTGATGATGGTGTTATAGCCAAACAGAAAGACAGAATGCACTTAGAGTTTGAAACAGGTGATGTCTAAGAGGTTAGAATTTCAACCACTCATGGCTTACCTGTAGTTCTTTTCTAAAGATATAAATTAAAGTAGCAGAACAAGAACTCATTTTTGAGGCTCTCAGTTGAAAGTGGGAGGGAGTGTATACTCATACAAGTGTGCCGATGATCCTAGGAGAAGTAGACGGTGAATTGCCTGTTTTTCTCTCCTGGTCAATTTCTTCATTCCCTGTTGTCTATTTCTTCCTGTTCCTGAAATTTAAAAATAGCTTCACTGATGTGCTTGGGATACAGCAAAGTATATACATTTAAAGTGTGCAATTTGATAGATTCTGGTATAATTTTCACATACACCTGTGAAGCCGTCACTATAATTGCTATAATAACCGTATGATTCAACCTGAGAAGTTTCCTCCTGCTCCAGTGTAACTGCTGCCTCCTGCCCCTACGCAGACTTCCTCCCTCCCCCCAGACAACCTCTGATCTGCTTTCTGTCTCTATAGATTATAGTTTATGTTTTCGGGAAATTTATGTAAATAGAATCATAGAGTATACTCTTGTCTACATTCATCAAGTATAATTATTTTGAAATTTGTCAATCTCAGTACTAATGGTGCATTCCTTGTTATTGCTGAGTGGTCATCTGTTGCATCCTTTTCCTAATTAACCATGGGAAGGAGTCTCTTCTCTGGACCACTCTTGGGGTTTTAATGTTCTCATTACTTCCAATGAGCTTTTCAACAGCCTGGGGGCAAATCAGACTCCTTCATAAAACTAACCCTAAGGGAGTATATCCTTGCACTTCATCACATGGTACAAAGTTTACTGACCCCAGTTTGTATACATAGGGCTCTGCATTCACCTGTCCTATTCCAAATCTGTAATTACATGGGTTAGTAGTGGTGATGATGGCCACCGGGTAGGGCAAGGGAAGAGTGATGTCCATTTACCAAGTCATAGTGACACCAATCTTCTCTTAAAAGCAACACAAAAATCCCTTTACTTACCAATCCTATGAATGCTGCCTGGCCATAGAGTTGTTGAAGGCTCCTATATCTTTAACTACCATAATCTACATTTTTTTACATTTTCTAAAGACTAAAACAAGTATGGTAGAGAGAAGGTTTTTCTTTATATCTTACGCGGAGCATGTTGTTGTCTATGATACACTATTATTTAAATGCATTAGCATTCTCCAAAGGTGGTTTCTAAGCATAACCTCGGAATGCTGATCTAACAATCGTAGAACATGTCCTCAAAGAATAATTCCAGAAAGAGAAGGTGCATATAACTCTTGTGAGAGGGAAAGAGTGAGAAATGCCAGTTTTCCTCTTGTTGCGCATTCAGATTATCCAATGAGAATGTTTCCTCCTTGTCGCCCACCTCCCCCTCTATGGGAGCCAGTACAGTACAGAATGTCTTCTCACTAGACAAGCTTATCTTCCCAACAAAACAGTTTTGATATGTGTGGCGGATACTGGCCAAGTGCATTCAGGCTTCTTCCTTAAAGAGTCAAAAGGGGACTGTCAGGAGGGTGTGGCAGGGGATCCAGGGTCACAATTGCCAGTTTATTTCTTCCTAGAATAACATATTCTTTGCTGGCTGCCAGCACGCTTATTTTTGTGTAGATTTGACCTTCGTTGCAACCTTGAGCAACTAAAATAGAATAAACTCACTATAAGCTAGTTCAAAAAGCCTGGCCTTAAAAATGTATAAAAATATAAGACAAAGGCAGGAAAACAAATCAGACCACAAATGTGAGCAAAACATCAGAGAGATTCTCAGTCTGGTTAAAACACCAGCCTGGTATATATTAGATTCCATCCTGGGTTTGATTATTTCTGCAGCGAGGGCTGCCTTTATCGATTGCGAGAGTGGAATGTTTAAGAGCGTTATATTACAATCTGTCTCTAAATGGCTTTGCAGAAATTTCCTGTAACTCAGAGGCAGAAATTGTGCAGGGAACTGAGAGCAGAGAGACTAGACAGCTGAATTCTACCCAGACTTTTGCATATGGGAAATTGATAGCATGCCAGAAGACAACTTAGATGGGTTTTCTTAGCAAAGAAGGTCAGTTTCAGCTTATTATTATCACATCACCAGAAACTATGCTGAACACTATAGAAAATGAAGCTGACAGGGGTTGTGACTTGGAGGATCCCAGCAATTTAAAGACGCCTTCAAGCCCAGAGCTTCCTGGCTCCGTGGTGGAGCCATTTATCTCTCCTTCACTGTTCTTGCCACATTCGCCTCCTCCTGGAAGCCACTCACCCTCTTTCATTGATCTCCTCTGTCTGAGAATCTTACATGATTTTATCACTGAATGCCACCTACATGCTACCTTCCAGCATTTTTTTAAATGCATTAGTTCTACTACATATAGCTAGACCACCCATTAAGGCTATGTCTTACTGCATATCCTCCTAATTCCAGAGTTAGAATGCATTGTGTATAAATGAGGTGGTCTATCTCTGTGTATTCCTTACACTCCTACCCCCTCTCATACACACATACACACACACACACACACTGATTACTGAGGGGTGTGGCTTATCTAAATTACTCATCTTTTTGCTTGTATATACTAGGAACTCCAACTTGGCTTAAACAATAAAGGGAATTTATTGACTTGATGCAACCAAAAAAGATCTAGCTGTAGGTGTGAGTCAATCCAGTGGCTCAAGGCCTTGATTTCTGTCTGTCTCTCTGCTTTGCTTTCCACGCAGTTGGCTTTATCTTTTGATTCTTTTGGTAACAAGATGACTGTAAGCAGCTTTGAAGACACCTTTGTTCACATCCAGACCGCAGAGAGCATCGTTGTGCCAGCATTTCCGGCAAAACTCAGAGGACTCATTCGCTTGGACTAGCTGAAGCCACAGTCTCTCCCCTGAGGATCCCGCAGAAGGGAGCAGAGCGGTACAGATGAGCCCAGCTCAGCTTCCCTGGAACCGTGTGGATCCCAAAGCAAATCTTGGAAAAATCGGTAAATGAGAGTTTGAGAGCCAACCAACAAATGTGGTAAAACCTCAACTTCCTATAATCTAGTAAATATTGCATTTCATATAAAAGGGATCTGTATTTTTATTCTAGAAAAAAGGAAAGGAAACCAACCCATAACTCCTCGCATTTGCCAGGTTTTGTCACATCATTAGAAGTTTTCCCAGGGATGGTAAGATCGCTTCCATTCGGTTCTTTTTCACTGATTTTGTCTTGGAAATGAAGACAGGAAAAAAGGAAAGAAGGCATAAACGAAGGAAGAGGAGAAAGACGTGGGAAAAGGAAGGAAAGAAATGTAATTTGACTCTGGGCAATACAGTAGTCCCCATGGCTCTTATCACTGAGGCTGGGAGACGTCCTTGACCAGGTCTGTGACTACGGCATGCGAATCTAAGACAGAGCTCCCGTTACTTGCTGGATCCTACTTGCTGTGGCTAGTTCGCTGTCAGACGAGAACTAGATATTTCTGAGTGAGGAGCTGGACTCCTTGAGGTGAGTTTCCCTTCCACCAGGAAGCCTGTTTCTTCTTGGTCCCATTCTAGAACTCCACGGAGGGGGACCACATCTCATTGCTTAGCTATGTTTCTATTTCTGAAGACCTGGGGCCATTTCTGCTGTCTGCCATCAGCTGTTGGTCAACAAAAGGACTAGGGCACACTTTCAGTTTGTGCAGTTGATGAAGCAAAGCCCGGTTTTCAGAGAACTGCCCATACGCCCTAAGGATGGGAGGAAAGGCACTCAATGCAAATGATGACGACTCGCTGATACGGGAACAGAGTCTTGCCCTCGGAAACAGTCAACCCTCCCTTTGATGCAAGGATGGAGAGGGACAGAGAAGACAGACCTCTGCTAAGGAGGGTCTGTGTAGAAGAAAGAAGTGTTTGCACATTCTTTGGCATGACACCAAGGATTGCTGAGCGTAAACTCCAGACTTAGAAGCAATACAATTATTCTTCCCTTGGCACAGCCTCATATCTGAAAATGTCATTTACAAAACATCAAAGAAAGGAAAAGGGATGGCGTAAGAGTCGAAACAGAAAGATCTCTGCAGAGGCCTTTGAAGAGCAAACTTCTGTGGCCTTATAAGATATTTTATTGCTCCCCAAACCTTTTTGGAACTCATCCACTTTGGGAAAGGGGGGAAGAGTCCATCTTCAGTGGCCTGTTTAAGCTTGAATTTTAAAAATGTAGTGTGCTTGCTCATGTCTTAGAAGAACTCTTCCATTTAAAGAGACCTTAGACACATTTTTTCTTTCCGTGCCTTACTCAAAGGACTATGTTGAAAGAGATCTAGGAGATAGGAATGGTGCTTGCTTTTTAAAAGGAATCATATCAGATGAAAGGCATAGATTTCACTGAAACCAAAAATGACGTTTGGAGACACATTGTTCCATCTTCACAAAGCCCTGTCTGGACAGGAAGAAAATCGCTCTGCAGTGTGGTCCCTGGAAGCACCAGGGGGTTGCGTTTACCTGTTAGGGCCTTTCAGTCTGGAGGCTGTGTAGCTGGATCAGGCAGGCAGCAGTCAAGGGCAGCACAAAGCATGCATTCAAACAGCTCTGTGCTCCTCTTGCCAAGTGAGCCTTCTGGTGACTCGGTGTCCGGCATGAGTCTCCAATTCCCACATTCTCAACATCAGTAGACTTGTGAAAAGAGCACTCTACTATCACTAGAAAAGTCATTCGTATCTAGTGTTCAGACAAGTTCAGACAAGGTAGAGCTGGAGAACTTTATGGTAGTCTTAAAAATGGTGATGAACTAGCAGCTGCTTCTGGGAGATGATAGCAAGGCAGAGCCTTAACAAGTGGTCCTCATGTGTTTTGAATTCTGAAAAGGATGCTCATGACTAGATGTTGATCCACAATAGCAGACTAAATAGCAAGTGTTATATTCTCTTGGGAAATGATGACAGTAGACATAGTGTTAACCAAATCCTTCCTATAACATTAGATACTATTCTGGGTATCATATGTTAGCGGGGCCCAGACAGAACCTTGCAAAAGGCACAAAAGAGAGGCAACAAGTCAGACTGAAAGATTGGAAAAATAAGAAGCAAGTTAATACAAAGAATTTGGAATTAATTAGCTCAGGGAAAACTCAAGTTGTTCTGAATTGATAGCTGCTGATAGTTAAGTCTTCACACGCACCTGACGCAATGCACGTGAAAAGAAGGTGTCAATGTCAATATCCGAGAGCTTGCTAAGGTCAAGGGAGGTTGCCAACAGTGGTTGGGGACCCATCTTTCCAACTTGGGGTAATTTATAAGAAACTGTGCCTCACAGTAAAAGAAGAAAGGTTCTTCTCCCCGAATGTTTTTCTTTCCATATACCTCATATTTTAAAAATCATGTGAATTGATTTCTTATTAAGTAATCATATATTCACCCTGGTTTCTCTAGATAGACACAATCTATGCATCTGTCCCATGTAATTTTTTAAATTTAATTTTTTGACAGGCAGAGTGGACAGTGAGAGAGAGAGAGAGAGAGAGAAGAAGGTCTTCCTTTTTCCGTTGGTTCACCCCCCAATGGCCGCTGCGGCCGGCATGCTGCGGCCGGCACACCGTGCTGATCCAAAGCCAGGAGCCAGGTGCTTTTCCTGGTCTCCCATGGGGGTGCAGGGCCCAAGCACTTGGGCCATCCTCCACTGCACTCCCTGGCCACAGCAGAGAGCTGGACAAGAAGAGGAGCAATTGGAACAGAATCTGGCGCCCCAACCGGGGCTAGAACCCGGTATGCAGGCGCCGCAGGCGGAGGATTAGCCTATTGAGCCACGGTGCCAGCCGTCCCACGTAATTTTTAATATCTTCTCCTTTCAGTACCTAAGCATCCTGCTGGAAAAATAAAGTATATGATTGTCTTACCATGAGCCTGTTTTGGTTTTGTAATCATATGTGTTCCATAAGCTTTTTAAAAAGTAGCTTTTTAAAAGTAGCTCAAATGGCTATTTTGGGGGAAACTCCAAGTTTATTCTCAGCTAATTAATTTACTGATACCATTGAGTACCTTCTTGTGCCAAGTGCTTTTCTAGGTGCTGGGGAAACCTGGTGAGCAAAAGAAACCGAATCCCATCTTCTTGCTACTGCAGTTTCTTTGGGAGACAGACAATAGGCCCACAAAACACACAATTGAATGCAACGTAGCCGCTAATACACATATGTCACAAAATAGCTTGGAAGAATGGTGGCTCCCAAAAAAGAGAACCCAGGTGACCAGAAAT